GGTGAAGGGGTGGAAGGTGGGTGTACAGGTATGATTTTCAAAACTCAGGAAGGGCCTTCCTGAAGGAGCCACCATGGAGAAGAGACTATAGATCAGATTGTATGTGGTTCTCGCTGCTGCTGTAACAAATTACTGCAAACTCACTTGACTTCAAACATGAGTGTTATCTTAACAGTTCTGAAGGTCAGAGCCTACCTGGGCTACTTCAGTTTTTAAAATTTACTTTTCTATACCAGGGATTGAACCCAGGGACACTTAATCACTAAGCCACATCCCCACCCCCCCCCCCCCCCCTTTTTTTTTTTTTTTTCTTATTTACAGACAGGGTCCTGCTAAGTTGCTTAGGGCCTCACTAAGATGCTTGAGGCTGGCTTTGAACCTGCAATCATCCGCCCTGGACTCCCAAACTGCTGGGATTACAGGCATGTACCACTGCACCTGGCCTTCCCTGGGCTTTTAAGCCAAGTGTCCACAGCCCTGTATTCTTGCTGGGGCTCTAGGAGAGCACCTCTCCTGCCTTTTCCAGATCATAAAGTATACCACATGCAGGGTCGCTCCCCTCCCTCCATCCACAAAGTCAGCAGCACCTGCAGATCTCGCTCCAATACTGGCCTCCTGCCTCCTTCTCCTGAGGACCCTTGTGATGACATCCAGCCTACCTAGATAACACAGAGTCATCTCATCTGGTTCCCTTTTGCCATGTAAAATATATTCACAGCTGGGCGCAGTGGTGCATGTCTATGATCCCAGCAGCTAAGGAGGCTAAGAAAAGAGGATCACAAGTTCAAAGCCAGCCTCAGCAACAGTGAGGCCCTAAGCAATTCAGTGAGACCTTGTCTCTAAATAAAATACAAAATAGGGCTGGGGGTGTGGCTCAATGGTCGAGTGCCCCTGAGTTCAATCCTGGGTACCCGCCCCCCCAAGATCATATTCTCAGATTCTGGGTTTAGGATGTGGACATCTTTCACCATGGAATCTAACCTTGAGGCAACGTGAGGAAAGAGGTTTCCAGGCAGACAGCAGTCAGAGCAAAGGCCCTGAGGCAGACAGACACCTTCCTGGTGGTTCAAGCTAGATGGTAAAGTGACTGGAGTAGAGGGAGCAAGGAGAGTGTGGTCAGAGTGGGGGGATCTCAAAAGGTCTTGTGGGCTGTATAAGGCCTGGGACATTTTTCCTGAGTGAGGTGGGAGCCATGGAGGATCTAAGCAGAATGAGTTGATCTAACATTCATCTTAACTGGAATATTAACTGTTCATTTTAACATTCATTCTAACTCTAGCTGCTGAGTTGGGAAGGGGACAAGAACAGAAACCAGACACCAATTAGGAGGCTGCTGCCACGATGCAGGCACAAGTGAATGGGAGCTGGGGCCCCATGGGGCAGTGTGTGGTGAGACGGCGTAGGTTCCAGAAGGTGCCACCCACAGCACTTCCTGATGGGTCTGTGTGGGATTTGGGTTGAGCACGGTCATAAATTGAGGTGGGACAATTGGGGAGGGCACAGGTTTGGGTAGGAGGGTGGTCAGAGGTCCAGTCTGGACATGTTGACCCTGGGGTGTCCTCCTGACATCAAGAGTTTAGGGAGGTGGTGACATGTGCCAGTCAGGCCCTGGGCACAACTGGAGGTGGAGGCAGAGCTGGAGGCTGAAGATCATGGCTATGGAGCACGTAAAGCATGGAGAGTAGCCATCCTTCAAGGAGGGGGAAGGCATGGTGTTGTGGGAAGGACAGTGAATACCGAGGTCTTGCAAATGCACATGACTGTGTGCAGTGGTCCAAGCTTGTAATCCCAGTGATTTGGGAGGCTGAGGCAGGAGGTTCCTAAGTTCGAGGCCAACCTTAGCAACTTAGCAAGACTCTGTCTCAAAATAAAAAGGGCTGAGGATGGAGCTCAGTGGCAGAGAACCTCTGGGTTCAACCCCTAGTACCAACCTCTACACCCCTCCAAAAAATGGACATGGGATCAGTGCAGAAAACAGTAGTCAGGGACAGGAGCCAGGATCTCCCAGGAGCAAGTGAGCCTGTGAACACCCCTGGGGGCATCAGGTGAGAAGCCCCCAGATGGGGTTTTGCAGGGGTTGCACTGTGGGGCTGCGCTGAGGGAAAGGATGGGAGGGTCTGGGCCTCACAATGAGAGCAGCTCCAGGGGGAGATGCATGGATGCAAATGTCCAGCAGGGGGCGCTGGGACCTTGGAGGAGGAGAGACAGGCGGACCTCCGCGAGTTCCTGGGGAGCGGCGGAGGAGAATCGCCACCCCTGCAGTACTCAAGGGTGCTCGTGTGACTCAGTTGTCAGAGTTGGCCGCTGCACTTTACATTTGCAAAGCCCCACCCCAGAGACCAGGCGCCAAAAGTGGCAGGAGTGGGGCCTGGGGCTTGCTCCATCTGCTGGGTCCTGCCACTGGACGCTACCCGCCTCGCACGAATCAGATGCTGGTGAGTCGGTTCAGCGCTCTGCGGCGAACTCTGAATGAGCTGAAGCTGCAGTGGGAGCCCTTCCTTCCCCTTGAGCTGCACCCCTAGATCCAGGCACGTGTCCCAGGAAAGGTGGGATAGAAGCCAGACGGCACCCAAGCACTGTGATAGGAGATGGGAGGTCCACTTGTAGCTTCTTGGGGATAGGGACACAGGGAGGAGCACTCACTACTCTTGAGCCCCCAGCCAGCAGGACCAATCAGTCTGACAAAGACAGGTCTTTGTCTCACCTTGTCTCACCCAGTTTGCTGAGGCCACCAGCGGGGCCTGGCTCTGCCACCTGGGAGCTCAGGGAAAGCCATGTTTGGCTGGAAGGTCTGGGAGTCACATTCCACTGCTTATCTCCTCTCCCTGCCCTCAGGGCCTCCCAGGGCTCCCTCTGCGGTGACAGTGCTGAGCAGGAACCTCCCTCTACCCACCCCCTCCCCATCGCTATCACATCTTTGCAAAGGTTTTCTCCAGCTGGGGTGCTTCTTCCAGGAAGTCAGCCCTGATAAGCCGAGGGGGAGGAGAGTCATTCAAACTGAGCTGGGAGGGGCCCCACCCCAGCAGCTCTCCCCGGACCTGGCTCCTCGGCACTCGACTGAAAAAGCGGAAGCTGGGGGTGGGGGCTGAGTCCTGCCATCCTTGCCGAGCACCCCGCACCCACACCCCCACTGAAGGTTGCAGTTTTACTTTTGAAAGCCCCACAAATGATTGACAGCTTGGAAGGGGGTACAGGCTGGGCCAGCCAGGACCCTCTCCCACCAGCCCTGAGCGCAGGTGTACTGCGGCACTGATGATCCGCCTGTAGGTGGGGCTTAGCTGTCCCCAGAAGGAACCTGGGGGAAAGGAGGGTTCCCTCTCCTGCCTGGCTGGCTCACCACCTGTAGGAGGGGTCCCCCTGCTGCTCCCCCTTCTAAGGGGGAGCCACTTCCCTCCCCCAGCTTCTCCCTGAGAGCAAGGCCCGAGGCTGCTGGGCTGTGCTTCCTGGGACCCCTCCCTCTCTCTGCACTACCTTCACCCCCACTTTTTCAGATGGAGAAGCTGGGCCTGTGGAGGAGCAGGGCATCCTCTCCACGCTGCTCCTCCTGGCTGCTCAGGGGACATCTGCACCAGTTGTGGTGATGATTTAGGACTTCAACACTGAAGTGGACTCCACCTGGCCCAGCAGGGCCTGTACCCTGTCACACTTGGCCGTGTCTGCCAGCTCTGCTGTCTGCCAGCTCCACGGAAGGGCTCACACAGGCTGCAGGAGGTGGCGTGGGGGCCAGGGCAGAGAGCACCAAGCCTGACTCACCCAGGAAGGAAGGGGCCAGCCCGTGCCCACAGCCTGCTCTGTAACACCCCACCCCCACCCGCAAGTGTCGGCTTTCTTGCATTCCAAGAAAACATGACTGGTACTGAGGGACAACAGCAGCTGAGTCAGGGGGTGCCCCCAGGGGGTCAGACCATGAGGTGGCAAGGGGCCCTCCTATCCCCCACCCAGCCGCTGCTCACTCAGGCAGCTGCCAGGCCTCTGGAAACCACTCTGCTGATTCAGTGGCGCAAGGCCAAGGCAGGGTTGGGTCTGGCCAGTAGTCCCAGGTCAGCAGCAGCGGCAGCCACCAGCAAGGGCTGAGAGGCCGCCTGGCTGGCATGGGTCTCTAGTGGGTCAGCAGTGGGGACACTGCACAGAAGCAGCAGGAAGGGTGGACCTGGAGCCGCAGGGGAGGCCAGCACGGGCATCTGCAGGGCACAGCAGCCAGGCCAAGCCAGCCAGGGAGGCGTGGGGCAGTCTGAAGAGGAAGTGAGGCAGCCCCCAGGCACTGCAAGGGGTGGAGGGTTCCTTCAGCTGGCGGCCAGCTCAGCCCTCAAAGACTGGATTTGAGGAGCAAAGGCCACTGTAAGAGTGGCCTTCTTCACAAGCAAAAAGGGTCTGAATCCTTCCCAGCTCCTGGGACTGGGGGTGGGGGAGCATTGTCACAGGCCCAGCCTGGGAAGCAGCCCCAGAAGGCACTGCTCCAGAGGACTCCTCCAACTCCTGGACAGGGGAGCCAAGAGGCAGCGGGTCAGGGGCAGTGTTAGCAGTGGGCTGGACCCACCCCAACCCCAGCACCTGACTGGCCTTGGACATTACTTGCTCAGTTTCCTCATCTAAAGAACGGGACTGGGCTTGGGATGAGGATGAAGACAAAGGTCCAAGGCCCGGCCACAGCAGTAATCCTTCCTGCAGAGATGACGGGGCTCCTCCCAGTTCAGGCCAGCAGCCTCAGAGCTGCTCCCCTGGCTGGCCCCCAGCAGTCCCGACAAGTCCCTCCAGGAAGCACAGTGCCCATCCCCGCTCAGCCACACTTCTCTGGTCCCAGCCACTTTTTCGATCCCAAGTTTCCTTCCAAAGTAGTTCGTGTGTAGGGTCTTCCACCTACCCACCTGCTGTGGAGCAAGCCAGGCCTACCGTCTAACCTGCCTAACCTCCCCTGACCTGATGCCCCCAGAGGCTCCTGAGAGCCTCTCCATGAGCCCAGGGCTCAGGCCTAACTCCCAGACAGGAGGAGGATCCCGAGCTGCTGCAAAAAGCACCTTTATTGACAGCAAAAAGACGTCACCATAGCAACAACACTTCAGTTCCCTGAGAGCTCTTCCCTTATCATCCGCTTTCCTAGCTATGTCTTTGCAAAGAGAATTAAAAACACACCCAGGACCAGGTGAGCCCCCTGGGCCTGGTGGGCAGGGACGAGAGGGGATTCCAGATACTGGAAGGCATAATACATAGACATTCCCAGGTCAGGTTTACAAATGAAGGCGTTCCCCAAGTTTGGCTTCTGCTTTTTCTGATCCACAGAAAAGATAAAATAAGGCCCTTCCCCACCCACTCCTCAAAGCAAAACAAAAATCAGACCCCCTTTCACCCACCCCTTTTTGAAAAAGAGCACAGTAAAAAAATACTGTCACAATATTTACAGACACGCCCACTGTGGGCGACATTCTCTCTACTTTGGAGAGGAAATAAAATGCTCTGACCCCCCAATCATGGGGAGACAAAGGCAGGACCTCAAGGGGGCCAGGAGGACCCCCAACCCAGGATCAGCTGAACAGCCCCAGGAGTCCCCGGACAGCAGCTGCTGTTCCTCTGAGCCACTGTGCCCAGGTCAGAGATCATCAGAGGAGGGGGCTTGGGCCTCTCCCCAAAACCAGCTTCTCCTGCACTGAGCATGGCTCAGTTGTCCTGGGGGGCTCCAGGAAGGGGCCAGAATTCCAGGGTGCTGGCACCCCCCAGCACAAGGACTGTGCTCAGCAGAAGAGGCACCCACATCACCTTGCAGAGGAGCTGGGAGCCCAGTGCTACCAAGACCCAGAAACATGAATAGGACTGCCCCCCCCCCCCAGGGACCCTTTCCCCCTATGGAAAGGCAGACAAGAGGCACTTCTGCCAGCTGCCTGCAGAGAAAGACTGCCCAGCAGTCCACTGTGCAGGTGGGCACACGCACACAGACACACAAACTCACACACAGACACACACACACACACACACAACGATCAAATGCCACAGACAAGACAGCACAACAGGGGTCCCTGGGCCCTTTGGATACCAGGGGCACCCAGGGACAAGGTCTCAGCCATGGCTGCTAGAAGATGGCAGTGTGGGGACACCAGGGTGTGTCCGGGTACAGGTGGCAGTGAATGGAGCGGAACCTGTGGGGACAGAATAGAGGGCTGGTCTGTGCGGGGTGGGGGTGCCTTGCAGACCCAGCAGCGGGGGCTTATTCACCCTGAGAAGGCGGGCCTCCAGGGACACCTCTAATAATCACGCTGCTTAGAGACACCCAGCCCCAGGCACCCTTTGCAAGCCCACCTGGACGGGTCAGCCTCCACCGAGAAAGGTCCCTTCACGTGGACAGCATTCCGCTTGTTTTCAAACATGCCATAGCTCAGAGTCACCTGTGGGAGGACAGGCAGAGTCATGCTGGAGGGGCCCTGGTGTCCCTAGGCTCTGGAGGAAGAGACTGCCCTTCAGACTGCCTCCCTGGGGCTAAGGAAGCCTGCTCTGCCCATCCCAGCAATGAAGTCCAAGCGGGGGTTACGGCCATAATAAGAAAACATCTATTGGGGCTGGGGATGTGGCTCAAGCGGTAGCGCGCTCGCCTGGCATGCGTGCGGCCCGGGTTCGATCCTCAGCACCACATACAAACAAAGATGTTGTGTCCGCCGATAACTAAAAAAAATAAATATTAAAATTCTCTCTCTCTCTCAAAAAAAAAAAAGTCTATTGATTTGAAAAAGACCCAAAGGGCACAGAGGTGTGTTCCCTCATATAAACAGCGAGGTGTCCGTGCTTGTGGGGGCATCTCCGTACCCCATGGCATTTGATTTAAGTCAATGACTCCACCCATTCTTCCCCCTCTCCCTCCGTCCCTTCCCCCTCTGTCTGCTCATCCCTCCCTGTGCGCGGCCAGGCCTGGCCAGGCCCCAGGGGACGGGATACCTGCTCATGGAGCTCAGAGGCAGGCACCTGCTGGAGGTTCTCCAGGTGAGAGTGGAAGAGTCCACTGCGGATGAGGGGCACGCCCAACAGGGCCTCCACGATGTAGCCAATGGTGCAGTCGTCCGGCAGCCGGATCCGCTCGGCCGTGCTCATGAAGTGGCCACCGCTGAGGGAGAGGGGGCTACGCTCAGGAAGGAGGTGGACACGCTGCGCATGCTCTGTCCTGCCCCCCCACACACACACCTGCGCTGCTGCTCCTCAATGGTTCTGATTCGGGGGTTCAGAAGGGTGCTTGCTGCCCAATGGCCTGCTCTGAGCAGGATGGACAGACATGGGGAAAGATATAAATGCACCTGCCATGTTACCCAGGGAGAAGGGACAGGAGGCAGGAAGTAGGTGGTGCCAAGCAGAGGCTGGAACCACCACCCCCCCCCCCACTGCTGGGAATGTGAATCCGGTCAGGCCCCACAGCAGGGAACCTGAGGACCAGAACAACCTGGTGGAGACACCTGTGCAGGGTGCTTACCTGGCCCACGGGCTCATCTTCAGGGCCAGCCCACGGCTAATGCAGAAGCCAGCTCCGCCAGTGGCAAACCAGAAGTGCACAGGACGCTGCGGGGGGCGAGGAGTGTTATGAGATTGGGGTGGGGTCCCCCAGGCTGCAGAGCCATCTTCAGCCTCCCCCCGACACCGTGTGCAATGTGTATGACGTGGGACAATGGAGAGGGGGACACTCACCACCTTGTTCTCGCTGACCCGCTCTGTGGCCTGGATGGGTCGGTCCAGGCTGGGCTTGCCGATGTAGACATCCTGGGTGTGCAGGTAGCTGGCCAGCAGCCTCAGCAGGGCCCGCAGGTTGACGTAGTTATCATCATCCACATGGCAGAACCACCTGGGGGCAAGGCAGGACCATCAGGGGCACGCCAGGGTGGGCACTGCCAGGGCATGGGTGTGGAGGGGCTCCTGCGCCCAACTCACTTCCTCCCCGACTCGATGAAGCGGTCATACTCCACGGCCATCTTGCAGGACAGGGCCTGGCGGCTGTGGGCTGCCGAGCAGTTAGTGTTGACCACGTTGCCTGTGGGCGGGGAGGGCTGTGAGTGGGCCTGGGGTTCCCCCCTGGGGGTGGGGGCTGTGGCCCCTCCCTCAGCCCAGCCCCCACCCAAGTGCACCGCCCCTGCCCATTCAGCCAGGTTTTTCCCAGTACCCGCCACCTGCTGCTCCTTGCTTGGCTCAAAGGGACCCTGGGGGCTGAAAGGGCCTCATTTGCATGAGAATTAGGGGGCCCGGGAGTAGTGGGGCGGGGCTTTGAGCAAGCCTGTTGAGTAAACTGCCCTCCCAGCCCAGAAGGCTGCGACCTTTCTGCCCCGGGAGGGGGAGGAATCCGGCAGGCTCCTCCCTCCCCAGCCCAGGGCTCACCCGTGTGCTTGGCCAGGGCTTCGTCTTCCCCGTCGGTGAAGATGAACGTCTGGAAGTAAAGACACAACCGTGAGCCCCCAGCTCTGTATCCCCCTACTGGGCCACAGAGCCAGGGCTGGGCACCCTGGGGTTCTGCGGCTGCAGATCAGGTCACCATTCCCCACTCTTTCAGCGGAGTTAGGCTGGGGCCTCCCGCCCAACCTCGGCAGCTGGGCCCAAGGTCACCTAGGCAGCTGTGAGGCACGAGCCAGGTGGGCGCCCCACCCACCACCAGGTAACCCGCTCCCGTTCCGCTCCCAGCGCGCTCGGCTCAGTGCACCTGGCCCGGGCACACACCCTTATTGACACAGGGCCTGGCCTGCTGACTTGGAGGGGTGGGAGGGGGTGCGAGGGGGGTGGGAGGGACAGGCAGAGGAGGTCGGCTTTGGGAAGCCAAGTCGCAGTCACTTGGGTTGGGGACAAAGGCCTCTGCTGGGCGGCTGCCAAGCCCTGGCAGACAAAGGGCCCAGAGGGAGGATGAATCACCAGACATCGTCGGCCAGCTTTGTCCTGGGCTGAGCAGAGAGGGGCGCAGGGCTGGCCTTAACTCGGCCGAGTTAAGCAGGAGTGGCCGTGCTGTCATTACCATACAGCTGGCCTGGTTAACTGGGCCGGGCTGGGCAAGAGGTCCCCAGGCAGGGGTGTGGCCACCAGTAAGGCAGCCCTCAGGACTGGGCCTTGAAGCCAGCCCCCTTCTGTGTGACCAGCTGAGCAGGTTACCCTCGGAGCCAAAGCAACCATCGAGGTTCTAAAATCGCCAACAGTGAGTGGGGTGCCGGCAGGAAACGGCTCCTACCCCCAGTGCCCATACAGCCTGGCACTTGGCATCCCTCCTGCTGCTCAGGCAAGGAAGCCCGCTCAGAGGACCTTGCCCAGGGCCTTAGCAAGACTCCACCTGCGCCGGCACAGGGCCACCCCCTGTCAGGATAGCTTTGCGGAAGAGGAGGGGGACGGGGCCGCTAGGCGGGGCCAGGAGCTGCCAGCGCCCGCCTGGGCTGGTCGGCACACGGGGAGGAATGTTCCTTCCTCTGCCGGCCCGCCCAGCGCGTGCCGCCCGCCGCGCCCTGGCATGGCTGAGTGCAAGCCTGGATTGGGTGGGGGGTGCCCAGAGCAGAAATCAGGGACCCCCCCAGACCCACTGGATCTGTTTCCTGTTGTGTACAAACAGGTCCAGTGTGTACAGGCCTGGAGCACGGGGACTCACCCCCAAGCCAGGAGGATGATACAGCTCACCTGGGCAGCCCCAGCTTCTGGCCAGACCTGACCCCAGGCCCAGACACAAGGTTGGGTGAGGCCCCAAGCTGCAGATCATGGGCCCAGAGCTATGGGCAGTGCAGGTGCAGTCTACACCTTCTGCTTGCTTGCACCCCTCCTTCTGGAGCCTGCCAGACACCCCGGGCAGCCCGCACGCACAGACTCGCACCCAGCCCCCCACCCATGCCCCAGCATCTCAGTCCAGGAATGCCGTGGGAGGTGGATAGGGCCGGCCTGCGCAGACGCTCCGCTGTGCCGCTGGATTAAAAGCAAAATGCTTTCTTAATGAGATCAAGGGAGGCCTGTTCTCCCGCGCTTTGGTGGTGTTCTAAAAACCCAGCCCAAGGCTACGGAGATTAAAGTCACCTTTGTTCAGCTCAGGAGCAAGGCAGCCTCCAGAAGAACTGCCCTCAAGGAGCAGGGCTGCAAGGTGTGGGGGTGTCTCCCCAACAGAGCAACAGGAGAGGAGGGGGCAGGAGCTGCAGCTGCAGTCCTCACCCCTGCTCAGGCTTGGTTTCCTTCTCTGTAAAAGGGGCACAAGAGCTCACCTGTGAGGAGCAAAGTGTTGGGGACCACCTGTCTTTTCCTCTTTCTAAAGGCCCTGGGAGGTGGGCATAGGCACCATCGAGTGTACGATCGGGGAGACCAAGGCCAGAGAGATGCAGGCACCAGCCTGTGTTCATACCCAGCGCAGAGGTGGTGCCAGACCAGTCCAGCCCCTGGCTTCCAGGGACCTGCACTCCCCAGCAGCCCCACAAATTCCCCGAAGGAGGAAGATGGGGCAGCAAGGGCAGCAGGGCTGGACCAGGGCAGGCAGGGGGCGGTGGGGGGGCGGGAGGACACCCACAGGAAGCGGCATTGTTCCTGGAGCCTGGAGCCGCGATTCAAAGAAACACAGGATGCCAAGTTCTCCCCCAACCATTGTGGCCGGGTGGTGGCAGCCGCTGCAGCCTGGCGCTCCTGGAAGGGTGGGGGAGGAGTGGACGGGCCAGAGGCCAGGCTCCTCACCCCAACTTCAGGGCCCATCAGAGCTTGGCCCCCATCGGCCAGCACCCCCACCCCACCCCACCCCACTGGCGGCTGAGGTTTCTTGCACAGTCTGTGCCTGAGATAGCAATGCCAGAACTTCTCTTCCTGGGCAATTGTGACTCACTCTGGTTCAAATGGCACCTCCTCCAGGAAGCCTCCCCCCCAGTGTGGGCAGATGCCACTCAGCTCACACAGCCTCTCTGTGTCCCTCTGTCAGAAGGGTCTGAGTCATCCTGCACAGGCTGGGGAAGTGGGCTCTTTGCAGCACGTTCCATAGACCCCTGACCACAAGGTACCACAAGAGGGGCTCTGCTTGCCATGCGCATATGAGCTGACTCTGCGCAGACCCAGCCTCTCCTGGGTGAAGGGATCCTTCAACAAGGGCCTCAGAGACCAGCGGAGAGATGGGCTCCAACTCTGAGTGCCTACGAGGCGCACCCATGCCTTCAATTTGGGCCAGTTCTCCTTGACAACACTGCCTATGGGAAGGCAGCGTTTCCTACGGTTCAGAGATGAAAAGACCAAGATCTGGCCCAAAAGTACCTAGCCCAGCTGAGACCCACACCTAAGACTCTCGGACTATATCCTCTCTGCTGGAGAAAGCCCCAAATTCCAACGTGAGAGGTGCTCAAACCTGGTAGCAGCCCAGAGCGGGTCAATGATGCCCAAGGTCACACAGTAGGAAGCCCAAGTGCTGGAGGGGATGTGCCTGGCTCAGGGATGGTGCCCCAAGAGGGCTGTCAGTCAGAGATGGGGGGGGCACAGGCCCCCTCATCGCCAGGCAACCTGAGTGGCCAGCGTGCTAGCAGCGGTTCCCATGGAGCGCATAGCTGCACACAAGAGGCCCGACGCCTTTCTCGGCTGGAGAAAGGGGCTTTGTTACCTTGCCCATGGGGCCGGCCCGAGAGCCGCCCGGCGCTGGGAATCCTAACGGCCCAGCCGCTAAACAAAACCCATGGCCCCCACTACCCCCTCCCGCCAGCCTGCTGAGCCCCTGGGAAAGGGACGCCTGATTCCCAGGAGGCTGCCATGGGGTTCCCAGGGCCTCTCCCCAACCAAGACCAGATAGGACCCTGCCCCCTAGTTCCATAAGCTTACCACGGCCCTCCCCCCAACCCCATTCTACCCCCAAAGAGGATTCAGCCAAGCCAGAATGCCCTGGGTCTCTAGACTTGAACAGGGAGGAAAGGGTCATGGGGTCTTCTCTGAGTACCCACCTTCACATTACACATCCCAGAGCCTCCCCAATCGGGCATGTTCCCCTGCTGCCCCCCCTTCAGGGCCCACACTCTGCCCCTTCCCTGCCCAACCCAACCGTCCTGCAGTAGCCTCTGGGGACATTTTCAAAATGGGGTGTGTCTTTTTGATGTGCAGGAGTCCATTCCTAATTGGAGGAACTAAGCCCAAGATTGTGGGCTTCAGGGTCTCCTGCACTATGGGGAAAGGGTCTCCACACAGACTCCCAAACCCAGGACTCTCCTTTTTCTAAGATGCACTCCCAAATCCCCCAGCCAGCAGTGATTGGACCCTACATGTAGCAAACTGGGATGAGAAGTGGTCTGGCCCTGTGCCCAGGGATCCTATGCTCTCTCTTCACGGCCAAGGTTAGAGCCTTACTCCTGGGGATTGGTCCCCATCTAGGGTGGATGACACTCTAAGGCCTGAGCAGAATCTGCTTTGGGACGTTTGGGGGCAATCAACCAAATTAATACTGCGTTTGTGGGACAAGCATCACAGGAAACCGACCCCAAGCACTGGAGACTGCTGTCGGACGATGCAGCCATCCAGGGCTCTGGAGCTAGGCTGGAGTGGGCTCGGACATTTCCAGGGCTGCATGGAAGAGTGGTCTCCAGCTGACAAATTGGGTCGAAGGGGATGAATCTGTATCACCGGGCCCCAGATAGTTCCATGGCTGGGCAGGGATGCAGCCTAACCCCAATCGGATACCGTCACCGGCTGGAGGGACGACGACCCGGCCCCACTAAGCCGCTGGGGCTCACCATCTCCTTGTGGCGAGAGATCCACGTCTCCAGGAGCAGGTCCAGGCGTGCGCGGTGAAACTTCCTAGTGGTCTTCACTGCGATGAAGACATCACGGGGCGCCAGCTGCTCGGCCGGGGGCCGCGCGTGGCCGTCGGCGGGGCGGGGTACGCTCCCGGACGACGGGCCAGCGTCTCTGCGCGCGCGGGTCAGCAGGTTGAAGTACTCGGACAGGCTGTGCACCTCGCGGGCTAGCGCTCCAGGAGCCGCCGCCGCCCCCAGCCCGGGCGCCGGGGCCGCCCCCGCCGGTCCCGCCAAGCTGCGCAGCGCGCGCCGGCCGCGCTCGGCAGGCACCGGGGACGGCGGCGGGTCGGCGGTGAGCACCAGGAGGCAGGCAAGCAGCGCACCCGCCAGCGCCAGCAGCAGGCGCCGGCCACAGCGCTTGAGCATGGTGGGGGCTGCGCCGTGCGCCCTCCCGTACTCCCGCCGATGTCCCGATTCGGCGGCGCCGTCCAGCTACAAGCCACCCGCGCCCGGCGCTCTTAACCTCCCCGCCCGGCCCCGCCCCCGATCGCTCAGTGGCTCGAGCCTTGGGGGCGGGGCCTCGCGGCACTACCCCCCCTCCAGGGAGCGCCCACGTGGGCCCGCGGCAGGGGGCTGGGAACTGCTTGGCGGGCGCCGCGGCCCCGCCCCCTTGCGCACGTGCAAGCACGCCCCTCTGGGTTGCCCCCACGGACTGCCGGAGGTGTGGGGCTAGGGGCCGACCCGGGCCGGATGCCCGGAAGGGGCACGCGGCCTGGTCCGCGCCTGCCGCACGGAAGTGCGCGCTCTTGGTGGTGGCCAGGGTGCTGGGACACGGGTCCCGGCTCAGACACCCCGCAGGGAACTTTTTACTTCCTCGCGGTGCACTTCCCCTTTCGGAGCCGGGCTTCCTCCCCTTGGGACTGTGCAGGCCGAGCTAACCGAGGTCGTCGAGGGTGCTCGGCTCCGGGCAGCCGTTACTGACACCAAGCGGGAGCCTAGCCACCTGTGCCAACAGGTGAGGTCGCGAGGTTCCATCGAGAAAGCACCCGTACCAAATCCGCCCCCAGCCCGGTGATCTCCTGGAGTCCGAGACCTACATGGGGTGGGTTGGTCCCCGAAATTCTCAGGCGCCCCGTGGCGAAGAGAACTAAAGCCGCCCTTTCCCTCACGATGAAAGGCCGCCGTCTGTCCCATTTGGTCGCTCCGTGCTCACGCCAGATGTGACCCAGCTGTGCACCCTTCCCGCCCCCCTTCCCCGGCACACGGCCTCCACCCCCGGCCCTTCCCACGGGTCTGGGTCCGCCCCCTGCACGAGCGGGGGCGGCAGGAATGCGCGCCTGAAGCGACAGTGAGGGGATAGGGGCCCGGAAGTGGCCTAGGATCCCCTGGGAGCCGGAGCAGGGTCCAGCCCCTGCCTGCAACATCTTCCGGCAGCGCAGCCGGAGGTGGCTCTCCGCTTGGTTGCGCCGGGGTCGTCTCCTAAGGGGGCCCTCTGCGCCCACCCAGGACCACCAGAGCTAGGCTGCCGCTCATTTTGCAGTTTATGGCCACAGCACTTACACTTGGCCTGAAATGTTATTTTTAGTTATTTCCATACCCGCTTGTGCCCCTCTCCCTGAATGTCAACCTCAAGGCAAGATAGCAGGGAACTCCTGAAATCCAAGGCTGGGACAGGTACTAGCTATAGCAGGGGCCTATGAAGACTTATTGAATAGATGTCCCACCCGCCTGCTCAACCCCACAGAGAGGGCTGTGGCCCATTTGCTGTAAGGGCTTGGGGCCCTCTGTGCTGGGGTAGGAGGGGGACGGTGGTTCCCAGGCCTCTTCCTGCCTTCCCCAGGTAATTAGCAGTCACCACCTCGGGTAGGCAGATGCCCGAGCAGATGGTGTTGGCTGTGCCCAAGTGACAAGTCTCCCATGGCGTCACCTCCTGCCATAAACCCCTCCCCCATCAGGCAGGGCCCAACCCCAGAGTCTCCTGGCAGCTGCAGAAGCTTGAGAATAGGCAAGAAGGAAAGGACCTACCTAGAGGCTGGGTGGGCTGCCCCCAAACAGCCCAGCCCAGCCCCAACCTTGGTCTCTACCCCAAGTTCTTCACCTCCAACCCCAACTCCTGTCAGTCTGCCTCACAACTATGTGGAGCGCTAACCTCCACTCAAGCATCTCTTCCCTGTACCATCCATTCCCATGGTCCCCTGGTCCCCAGCCTACCTGCTCTATTTATTCTTTCTACAGCAACCAGGCTACTCTGATTGGAAACTCCACCACCATCACTCACAAGAAGATGAAAATCCTCCACAGCCCCCACTGCCTGCCATTTGAAGTCCTGGCCTGGTATCCACACACCTTGTGACAGCCCTAGCCCAGTTTCTTGCTGCTCCCTACAACCCTCTTCAGTCCCCAACAACCCAAGCATGCCAGGCTCTCACATCTTTACATGCACTGTGCCCTGTGCCTTGAAATTCAGGTTAAGGGCAAGGGTAGTTAGTGGGTACCAACTAGTCGCCGAGCGTTCTGCCAGCAGCCAGAGAGGAAGCAGCTGTGCCTCCCCACACCCACCTGTCCTGCAAGTGAGTCCATATCCTGTGGGCCCCCAGTCCAGGGGTTGGGACTCCCTCAAGTCCAGAGCCCCTCAGGCCCTCATGCTGCAGGCTCACCTTGGCTGCTGTGGCATGGTTGTCACTACATAGTCAGTAAGAGCCATGTGCCCATTGTACAGAAAGCAAGCTGAGATTCAAAGAAGGACTGCCGCATTGTGCAGAGAGCAGGACTGTGCAGAAGGGATGGGTCCAGCCTGGTGGGGACACACGCCTAGAGCTGGGCCAGGGGCTTCCTGTGGCTCCCTGCAGTCAGCTTTGGGGGTGGTTGGGGACTGTGGCTGTGGCTGCTTGTCTGGGAACAGCAGGACAAAGCCTGATGGCATTCTTGTGGGGGCTGCAGGTTTTGGCAAGAGTGATTCAATTTCTTTGCTGTCAGAAGAATGGAATTTCGTGGTGACTCCTTGAGGTCTGAAATCTGGAAGGGGTGACCAGCAAGCCACCCCTGCCCCTTCCCCAGGACCAGCTCCAGCCGGGAGGCACTCCCCTTCCCCAGACTCCAAGGCTCCCTCCAAGGACCCTCTGAGCAAACTGCCCCTGCAGGGAAGGGGGTAAGGGATGCCATGTGCTCAGCCCAGGGAGCTGAGGAGGGAGCTGGAGAGGGAAGAGGTCTCCCAGAAAGCCCCTTGGGGGCCTCAGGATCCTAGGGAAAGGGGCTGGGGGAAGAGGCCACCTCAGGGCCCAGCTCAGGCAGGACATATGGACTTAGCCAGACTGCTTACCTTCCCATCCCAGGGGCCACCTCTTAGCCTCAAGACCTTGGACCTGTAACCTTGCTCTTCTGAGCCTCAGTTTCCCCACCCATAATGCAAGGAATATATCATCTTTTTTTTTTTTTTTTTTTCTTTTCGGTACCGGGGATTGAACTCAGGGGCATTCGACCACTGAGCCACATCCCCAGCCCTTTTTTGTATTTTATTTAGAGACAGGGTCTCACTGAGTTGCTTGGCCCCTTGCTTTTTTGCTGAGGCTGGCTTTGGACTTGCAATCCTCCTGCCTCAGCCTCCCAAGCTGCTGGGATCACAGGCGTGCACCACTGTGCCCAGCGATATCATCTGTTTTTTAAGGTGCTCCTAGTTGCTCCTGGAGAGTGGCCGCCCGGCCCTCCTAGGCACATGGGTTTCTGTGCTTCCTGGGACAGCCCCTCTGCCCCCCCAGCTGTGGCTTCTGGACAGCTGGATGCCTTAATGACTAGGACACCTGTCTGTTGAGGGTGGGTGGAAAGTCAACAGACTCACACAACCAAGAAGGCCATGCGAGGCCGCTGGCTATCCCAAGGGCCCCCAGTCCCCACGTTAGGCTCAAGGGCGCTGTTGTATCCTTATTGAGTTCAGGCCCCACCTCCACAGGCTCAGCAGCATATGAGGGTCTCCTGTTGGAATCAGTCCCGCCAAGTCCTGGGAGACATGGCCTGGTCCTGTCCTTGCCCCACCAGGGGATGGCATCCAGCCTGCCATTTGCCTGCCTTCCCGGGTGGTATCTTGGGCTGCTGCTGGCCAGCCTTCCCATGGGGTCCTGGGAAGATGTGTGGAGATGTAATGGGTCACCCATTAACTCAGTAGGAAGTCATCTGAGACGACCCCTCATTGCCCTGTGTCAGGTGGCCCTGCTCCGTGGCCCAGGAACCGGCAGAGCCCAGAGAGGGAAGGCGGGCAGCATCCCTCAACCTTACAGCAAGGCTATGGCAGGAAGGCGAGGCTGGACACCTAGGCTCGTGTCCAGCCTGTCCCAGCTGCTGGAGAGAGTGTCTGGTGCCTGTGGGCTCCCCAAGGAACAGTGGCATGATGGAGGTGGCTCAGGGACACCTGGCCCAGCTTCTGAGTGAGCAGTTGCTGCTGGCAGGGCGGGGTTGAGGGCTAGCTCCCTGGGCAGGGCGAGGGTACCCAGGGCACAACTGAGTCCCACAGCTTTGGGTGGGGTGGGGCATGGCCCTATCCCAGGGGGAGAGTGGCAGCCGCTAGCTGTGAGTGTAGCACCCACCTCATCCCAGCCCTGCCTGCCCACTCTGCCCAGCACCCTTCACCACTGCCCACACGTTGTATGGTCTTGGGACAGTTCCCATCTCACTGTGCACCTCAGGATTTTACTCCTCTCTGTAGTAGGGACATGGCTGGCACCTTCCTGCCCTGCCCACCCAAACAGGCTCTGCAGGCAGAAAGTGACCACCTTTCCACTGGTGGCCTGACACTTGGGCTTGAACCCTGACCCTTGCATGAACAACTTGGGCTGGGTGACTGGGCAAGGCTTTGGAGCACACCTGTCCTGGCACCCTGCCAGCCCAGCTAAGCACTGCCTCACCCAGAACCTCCCCAACCTCCTCATCCTGGTACTGACCACATGAAGCTGTAAACTGTCTTTTTATCCATCTGCCTCCTGGGGACAGGGGCATGTCTTACTCCTTGTGAGGGCCGTGCACAATGTAGATGCTCAGTAAATACTAGCTGAACAGATGAGTCAGGGGGTAGATGGGTAGATGGATGGATGGACAGATGGGTAGATGGATGATTGGAAGGTTTGAACGGACACAGGTGGGTGAACAGATGGATGGATGGGTGGAGGGATGAATGGACACAGATGGATGAATGGATGAGAGAGGGCAGGGTGAATGGGATAGCTGGATGGGTAGATGGACAGACAGCCAGACAGAAGCATGTGGATGGCTGGGAAGGGGCCAGATGTCAGCTATGTGAGAGCAGAAACTGTGTTGCTCACAGCTGTGTTCAGTGTCTGAACGCTGCCAGCTTTATAAACCCGCGGGAAGGAAGGGTGGACCTGGCGGGGGATACAGAGACCTGCTCTGGGCTGGACAGAGCATCCCCTTGCTGCTGCGGCAGCTTCCTTTATAGTTGTAGATGGTCACAATACCTCTATTTTATTTTTAGTCATCTTTATGCGGGGCTGAAGATCAAACCCAGTGCCTCACACACGCTACACAAGCGCTGTGCCGCTGAGCCTGCACCCCAGCCCCACATTCCCTTGCTTCTGTCCCCAAACACTCAGCTGTGAGGAACGTGGGTCTCGGGGTAGAGGTGCACAGAGCTGCCTGCTGACCTCTGACTGGTGAAGGATTGGGGCCTCAGGAAGCCTTCGTGAAGACAAGTGCTCGAGACAGCAGGCTGTGGGTCTGCCCTGTGACATGGCCTCAAAGGGTCTCATGCAAACCCTTGGCCTCCTAGACAGGTCTAGGGGTTCAAAAAGGAAAGGAAGCATGCCCGGACCCCATGGTGGGGATGGTTTCTACTGTGGGGCCAGGACTTGTCCACACCAGGAGGGCAGAGGCCCAGGCCTGGCAGCTGAGCCTCTTCTGGGGACTCTGCTCTAGGGCCAGCTGGGCTGTGGGGCTGGCTGGAGCTAATCTGATTTGCAGCCCCCAGTAGCAGAGCTGGACCACCAGGATCCACTTAACCGACATCCTGCAGAGGCCAGACACCCACCAGGGAGGCACCAGAGCCACCCCGCCCCAGATGGCCTTTGTGTCCCTAAGAATGGCAAGCTTGTGTGGGTGAGCAGGAGGTGGGCCGGCTCTGCTGGGGCCTGGCAGGCTCCAGGCGTGATCCCCTGCCCCAGTCATAACCCCAGGAATGGTGGGAAGGCTCCAGGCTGGGTCAGAGTCTGGGTGCTCCCTGACCTCACACTCTACCTTTGCAAAACGGGAGTGTTGCTTCCTTCACTCCCTCAAGGGTGGGCAGATATGGCATCGGGATAATCCAGGCTGCTCTGGAAGTCGGGGTGGTGTGGGGGTTATATCCAGGAATGATGTGCTCAGTTGCAAAGAGGTGAGCTGCCACTTCAGTACCTGAGTGTCGGTTCCACCTCCACTCACCCTTCCACCTGTCTGACCATCCAGCCATCCTCCTGCCCATTTTGCCCACCGGCCCACACCTTGCCTAAGCTTCGGCATGAAGGCTGTGCTTGGCACAGGGGAGCTGAGATGGGGCCTCAGATACAGCCTCTGGTCCCGGGGAGCTCACAGTCTTGTGGGAAGAATTCAACAGGCACCCAGATATTTTGAGGGCAGACAGAGGGTGGTGGGGATGGGAAGATGGGTCAGGCCCAAAGGTGCTGGGCCGGCCGTGGTGAAGAGAATACACCATGCGCCAGAGCTGGGGGAGAGGAGCTTCTGGAAAGCCTTCTGAAAAAGACACTGATGCCTCCCCTGGGGCTTAAGCTTTGGGTAGACGAAGCTGGATGGGGAGATAGCGGGTGGGACTGTCAGGGTCTGGAGAGGCTGAATTCTTAGGCAGGGATGTGGGTAGAACCACCATGGGAGATGAGGCTGGAGCAGTGAACAGGAGCCTCAAGTTCAGGCTCAGGATGCCATGGGAAGCAATAGGGAGCCACGGAAGGTTAGGGAGCAAAAGAAAAGTGGCCCAAAGTGCATTACCAAAAGAGAAGCGGCTGGGGCCAGGCTGGAGCCTCCCTGTCTGTCAGTCAGTTCTTCCAGGGAGGTAGGACGCTGGGAGGAGACTGAGGGCCCCCTCAGCCTTTGTTTTCCTCCTTCCTTCCTTGGGAGGCTCTGCCAATATTGGAGCTTAGTTTGGAGAGGATTTGCAGAGGGAGGCCTGGGTAGCTCAGGGGCCCCACTCTGTGGGAGGGGAGAAAGAGGAAGTGGGCAGGTGAGCCTGGGACAGGGTCTCGGTGCTGCAGAGCTGTGACTGCTGCCACCATAGCCTCTGAGCCCCTCTCTGTAGCAGGGTCTCTTCACACCCTTGATCTGCTGGGGCCACCAGGGGGTCTAACCAGAGGTGATTCTGGTCCCCTGGGAAACATTTGACAATGAATTCCTGGAGATATTTTTGGTCATCCTTGCCACTGGAGAGGGCCCACTGTGCTAGCATGTACTAGGGAGGGGACAGGGATATTGCTGGACACCTGGACACCCAGGAAGGGCCCACAGCAAAGAACGCTCTAATCCAAAGGAGCCACTGGAGAGATGGCAGGGTTCTCCCACCGTGCCTGGCATGCACCTCGCAGTATGGCCCAAGGAGCGGCTGCTTCTGCCTTCCTGCAGGAGGTCACCCAAGGCCAGAGGATGTAGAAGGCAGAGGCTGCAGAGGGCAGGGCCATCAGGACAGTGTGGCGGCCCAGAACGGAAGGATTGCACAGGGGGCTTCCGGGTGATGGCCAGCAGGGGCAGGGAGGGACTGGGGCTGGGGCCAGGCTTCTGGGCAGTGCTGGGGCAGGGTGGAGGGGGGTTTGAGGTCACAGGCCCATCTCTGTCATTCCACAGTCTCTAGGTGGCCCCAGCCTCAGGCCTGGGGTGGAGGGAGGAGCCTCCTTGAAAGCTGTTTGCTCAGCCGGGGTTTAATCTCCAAAACAGGAAGGCTGCAGAGACAACTGTACTGAGCCTGCCAGGTTCAACCCCCGGCCTCCTCTTGCCTAGCCTCCAGTGCCCCCTCCTCCCGTAGCCCTGAGGCTGGCCTCAAGGTAGGGCACCCCATCTCCTCTGCTAACTGCGGGGGTGGGGGGTGTTGAAGCCCGAGGACAGGAGGGGCAGGAAGGTGGGGGGGGTAGAGGGTCACCGGCCCAGCAGGGAGCCTCCTGGCCTCATCTTGCAGATGAGGAAGCTGCAGTCAGAGAGGGAAGTGGGCTGGCCTGGGTCACACAGTGGGCAGGGGGGTCTCCAGCGCTTGGGTGTGGCGCTGTCTGAGCAGCAGCTTGCTGGCGGGGAGGTCCCACAGGGCTGGGGTGAGAGGAGAGTTGGCCCAGGCCACAGCCCCCCCCTCCCGAGGAAGCCGAGGACCAGGCGTGGTTGGCCAGGCTTCCCTGCACCACCCCTGGGGTGGTTCTGGGTGCGACAGCAGGTCAGGCCAAGCAGAGCCCCGAGGGCCCCACCTCCCTGCAGCTGGGGCAGGTGGGCCTGACCAGACAATGAGGGCTGCCCCCCTTGGCAGGCCAGCCCAGTCCAGCCCCTGCCAGCCTCTCGGCCTTCCTTGGCTTGGCCAGACCATGACTCCCCAGGTCTCGCCCTCTGTGCTTGTGCTTCTGCCGGGAAGGCTCAGTGGGCCCAGCTTGGCCTCTGCTCAGCCACCATTTCCTCCAGGAAGTCCCCTCCCCCTCCTCCCTTTACCCCTCCATACCCTCCAGCCCCGCTCTCGTCTGGGGTTCAACCATGGAGGTCAACCGTGGCCCTTGCTAGAGGAGCTAGAAGGGCCTCCAGGAGCCTAAGGTCAAAGTCTCATTTCACAAATGGGAAAACTGAGGCGGGAGGGCGGCCTGCCTAGGCCACATAGCGTGTGGCATGTCACCCTGGGGAGTGTGCCTCCGTGGGCTCACCACATCCCCCATTCTCTAGGCACCCACAGTCAGAGGGCAGGGGCTCCGGAGCTCTCCTGAACGGGGACTACAGGACGCTGATTCAGAGGCAGGCTGGGTGGTGATGGTGACCTTGGGCTTCTCCCTGCTGTCCCTTGGCTCTGCCCAGCCAGGAGCCTTAGCAAGAGTTGGACAGGCCCAGTTCAAGGGGCAGGTGGCTGGCTAGCCTGCTCCAAGAGGGGTGAGGCCTGACCCCAAACCAGCCTACAGCAGGGCCTGTGGCATTTCTCTGGGAAAGGGAGAGAGGAAGGGTCCCTGTCCTGGGTGTGTCACAGGATTTCTGCCTGTTCTTTGCACCCAGAATCCAGCTGTCCCTGAAGCCACCCTTGGGGCTCTGTGGCCCGGGGCAGCTCTTCAGGTCTGGTGTGTCCTCAATGGCCGCCCTCTTTCCTGTCTGGTCCCCACCCACCATTGCTGTCACTCTATCCCTGCGACCCAGTTTCCCTCCATGTCTCTGCCTTGGGGCAGGGAATGCTGGAGATAGTGTCCCCCTTTGAGGCAGGTCCATGATGGATCGGGTGTCCTGGGTGGGGCGGGCAGGTGCGTCTGCTGGCTGTGGCAGGGGCCACAGCTTTCAGGTCTTCAATGCTGCAGATTAAGTTCCATCCCCAGGGACCCCTGTTGTGGGGCCATTGTGATGGCTTGGGAACCACAGTGTCTCTTGGCCAGCCGGTGTGGCCCTGGCCAGGGCTGGGGTCCCAGCATCCTCTGGGCTGTTTGGGCAGCCTCCAGAGAAGGAGCACCTGGGGGCTCATGTCTGTGAACACCTGCTGCCACAGTGGACACAGGGCCTTGGGGAGCACGGCACCCCGCCTGGCTGATGCCCTGTCTTCTGCCCAGGAGCACTGTTGGGAAAGCATGGCTGCTTTGCAGCTCTAGGAGCAGAGCGTGGCTGGATTTTCAGTGTCCATCCTTGGTCAGTGCATGACCTCCATCCAGGCGCACAGTGGCCCTGACACTGCCCTCTGTCCCCTCCCTCCCCATCACTCAAGGCTTTCTGCAGGCACAGTGGCCCTGACACTGCCCTCTGTCCCCTCCCTCCCCATCACTCAAGGCTTTCTGCAGCCGGGGCTGCTCCCCTTGGTGGTGTCCTCCCCAGCCCGCGCTCAGATTGTAAGGCTGGCCTTGGCCTCCGCCCCTGACAGTGTTGGAGGACAGACAACTTCAGATCCTAATCCCAAGGCTTTGCGTTTCCCCCCTGAAGGGTCAAGGGAGCACAGGACTGGAGGCCAGGTGGTCAGATGCCTCCCAGCACCCAGCCTGGGCCCCTCCTTCTCCCCTCACCCCCTCTGGGGCCTAAGACCTGCTCTTTGGCCCTTGTGCAGAAGCCTGGTGTCTTCCTCTTGGTGCCCCAAACAGAGGCGGCCACATATTTTATCATCTAAACTGGGACATTTTTGAGAGCCTGAGGGAGCTCTGCTAATAATGACACTTGCACGACACTGGGTGTGTCGGTGACAGAACAAAGACCCCCAGTACAAAGAGGCATGCTGGTGGCACACAATCCGTGTGCAGGAAAAAGCACTGTGATGGCTTGGGAACCACAGTGTCTCTCAGCCAGACGGTGTGGCACAGGGTGGCACCCAAGTGCACTTGTGTGTCCACAGGTGGTGGGGGGACATGGCATGCAGCCAGTCTGCACGTGGGGGCTGGCCATGTCCAGGGACACGTGTCTCCCCATGTGCAAACGCCTAAGCCCGTCCCATCAGCCCCCAGATGGCTCCTGCCCCAGCACAGCTGGAAACTCCGGAAGGAGGAGGCGGGTCCTGCTGGCCTCATCCTTGGTCTCCAGAGAGGTGGCCAGGACAAGGTGGGAGGTGGAGGCCGGGCTGGCTCTGGGGAGCCAGGGCTGTGACAGCAACCTTCGACCGAAGGTCTGTCCATGGGGAATGTGCTGCCTGGAGAGGCGAGGCCCCTGAGGCTGCGTCAGCTGCTCTGGAGTCCACCCTGACCCTCTACCCCTCCTCCTCCAGGCAGCCTTCTGTGACCTCTGCCCTGGCCCTCATTGCCTCTGCTGCACCCCAGGCCTAAGGGTGGCACTTCAGGGAGAGGAGGACTCAGCCCTCTCCTGATCCCGAGCATCTGCTGAATGGCTACTTCCCTGGGACTCCTGAGCGTCCAGTGGACATATTCCCTGAGGGCTCATTACCCTAAGGAACAGCAGTCTGGGCCCCGGACAGACAGGGTCTGCTTTGAAGCCCGGCCTGGTGACCCCTCCAGACACAAGGGAGGGCCTGGGGACAAGCCATGCTGAGGCCTTCCGAGGCAGCGGCTCGCTAGTAGGTCACAGGGGAGTCCTCAGGGTCACTTGGCTTGTACTGGGCAACCATCAAACCCTCCCCTTCCTGAAACTGGAATGTGATGGAGATGCTGGACCCACGTGCAATGGTGGAGATAGAAGGGGGACAAGGCACAGCCAGTCTTGCCGCTGGGACTCTCCTGAAAACGGAATTCTACGCAGGATCAGCAGGATCCAATAAAAGGGGTGTCATGAGGGCACCTCAAGGAGGTAACGGAGGTGCAAAGTCCCGGGGTCCAATGAGCTCAGTGGCTCTTGGGAGCATTTGGGGGACACCTCCCAGAAGCCAAAGCTACGTTGGCACGGATGATCACAGTTTGAGGGGAATAGGGGCTCCTGGGTTTGCGGTGGACGGGGCCAGGGCAGGGTGGAGATGGAGGGTCTCTCCCTAGAAAGCTAGAACTTGAGGAGACCAGTCCATGGGAATGGGGGAGGGGAGGGATCCCGTGGCTGGACAGCGGCAGGAGCTCCAGCTGGACCCATATCTGTTCTGCTCCTTGGGGAGCAGGGTCCCCTTCAGCCCCTGGACCCAGGAGACCTGGTCTACTGCAAGCCCCTGCCCCTGGACCCTCATGGGTCAATGAGCTGAAATCCGAAACTCAGAGGTCTGGGGAGTAGCCCATGTCGTGGAAGGTTGGGAGCTTGCCCATGAGACGCCCAAGCAGGCCCGGCCTCCCATCCTCCCGGGTTCTGACAGATGAGCCTCTTTAGACCCTCCCAGCCCCAGGGCTGCTGTGACAAAGTGCCACAAGCCAAGTGCCTTTAATAACAAAAATGGAGCTGGGTGCAGTGGCACACACCTGTGATCCCAGCGACTCAGGAGGCTGAGGCAGGAGGATCCCAAGTTCAATGCCAGCCTCAGCAACTTAGCAAGAGCCTGCGTCAGAATCAAAGTTTAACGTCAGGCGGGTGGGGAGGACTGGGGATGCAGCTCAATGTAAAGAGCTTTCCTAGTACCATGAGGCCCTGGGTTCGATTCAATTCAATTCCTTTTCGAAGGAAGGAAAGACAGAAGGAGGAAAAGGAGGAAGGAGAAACACACACGAATTGGTCCCCCACCCCGTGTCCTAGAGGACAGGAGTCCAAGTGAGGGTGTGAGCAGGGCCAAGTCCCTCTGAGGGCTGAGGGTGAATCTGTCCCTGGCTGCTCTCTGGCTTCTGGTGGGTTCCTGGTGCTCCTTGGCCTAACTGCCTCGCTCCATCCTGTCTCCAGCAGGGTCCTCTCTGAGCCTTGTGTCCTTTCCTCACAAGGTCACTATTCATTGCATTAGGACCCACCCTCCCTCCAGGATGGCCTCATCTCAAGGTCCTTAACTAGTTACGTCTCTGGAGGCCTTTTCTCCAAGCCAGATCCCTTTCCAGGGGCTGGGACTTGATATATTTTGGGGGGGGGGTGTCACAATACCCCCAAATGTCAGGGACCTATGAGGCCAAACTTCCCTCACTGCTAAATCAGTTTCCCTATCTGCACTGGTGTACGTGGGTGGGGGACACCGATTGGCATGGGGACCAAGAGCCTGGTCCCAGGCAGGGTTGGCGGCTCCAAGAGCAGGGAGCAGGCAGTGCCAGGCCTGCCCACCAGGAATGTGACCTGCAGTCCCCACCCGCACAGCACAAATGGACAGTTAACACCTGCCCCTGACTCCTGGCTGGTTCCCAGCATCCCAGGCCCCTGCGAGGCATGAGAGACAGAGGGTCGCATACAGATAGGCCAACAATCCCTCCCCCCCAGGCCTGCCCTCCCCCCTGTGCTAAGCCTTCTTGCTAGCAGGGTGTTTCGGCCCTCAGGCCTGGGCATGAGTGTGGGCGAGCGGCCACCAGGCCCTGGGCCAGCGAGGAGGCTGGGCTCCCAGCGCTTGCCCCCTCAGATTGCCCCACCAGCCGGAAGCCGCCTCCTGCAGTGTGATCACGCATGCCATGCCGGTGTCAACTCAGATGATCTTCCAGAGCTCTTTACAAGATGTGGAAACTGAAATTCAGCGGTCCTCCAGCCAGGAGGTGCAGCCAGGACTGGAAGCGAGGTCTGCGGGTCTCCACCTTCTGGGGGCTTCCTTGGCCCCCCAGCAGAGGCCTGGCAGCAGCTGCTCTGTCCCTCAGAAACCACCTGGGGGCTCAGCTTTCCTGTCTGTGAAATGGAGTCCTGTCTGCCGGCAGGACTCCCAGGGCCAGGGAGGGAAGGACAGTGTCCCTGGACATGGACAAAGGAGCTGAGGCCAGGTGTGCCTGGCCTGGTCTCAGGACCCCAGCTCAGCAGACACAGGTCAGGGCAGGCCCAGCCCAGCTGGCCTGCTGGCCAGATCCCTCCAGGGCCTCTGTGGGGAGGTGGTGGGAACGGGCCTGCTCTCTGCCTCCCAGCCCCCACGTGCACCCCCCTGGGGCCTGGTCAGCGGCTCAGGTGTCCCCGCACAGCAGGTTCCTCGTCTCTTCTTGTCCTCGCCTCTGTGGAGTCTGAGGGAGGTTACTCCCCAGGGGCCACGGGCAGCTCTGTCCCTGCTGGTGAGGACAGCAGGCAGGCGGGGTGGCCGTCTGGCTGAGGGAGGGAGGGGCCAGTCCTGATGCCATCTCCTCCTGTCCCCCAGGAGGCGGGACCGCCCAGGTGTATCCACAGGGACCTTCCCTGAGGCCCCTTCCCACGACCTCTGTGTCCGCCCCCCCCATGGTGTCTGGGTCTAGGCTCTCTTAGTCTGTAGCCTGCTCGTCCAGTCTCAGGCCCTTGGGTCAGGCAAGGCCAGGGGACTGTGGCTGCAGCTTGCTGACTCTCCACACCAGCACCTGAGAGTCTGCTGTCTCTGTTGCCCAGTTCTTCTTGGCAGGTCAGGATCCCCCAATTTTACAGGCACTGAAAGGGAGGCTCATTGTGTGTGTGTGTGTGGTGGGGGTAGTAGGGAGGCCCTGCCTGCAAACTGCCTGACAGCCACTTCTTATCCACCGTGCCAAGCCTGTTTTGGAATTGACATTGGGACCTCCCTGGGAAACTGAGGCTGGGAGGGGTGACACTTTGCTCAAGGGTGTGCTTATCTGCCTTTTGGAGCCATATTGTTGGAGCTTAAATCTTGACTGTGCTGAGTGACCTCAGGTGAGGCACATAACCTCTCTGTGCCCCTCCCCGCCTTTTGATTCTCTCCATGGCCCCCTGATCTTCGTGGGGTCTGAGTCTGGCAGCACGGCCTGGTGGCTTTCATTCATCTGCATTGCTGCAAGTTGGGAAACTGAGGCTCAGAGAAGGCAGAGCCCCGGACGAAGCCCAGCCTGGGTTTAGTGGGTGCTGAGGAGCTGGTGGGTGGACTGGGCCAGGGGCTGGGGGTGGAAGGAGGAAAGCAGAGCTGGGGGTGGGGCCTGGGGCTCCTGGGGCACAGATCTGGGCCCTTTCCCAGATGGGTGGGCCTGTTCTGACTCGCCGGCTGGGCTCCAGGCTGGGGGCGCCCACACAGCGGCAGATCCCTGAGCCCCAGAGGGGCCTTTGCCAACCTCTGAGAGCAGCTGCCTGGCCCACTGCAGCTGCAGGAGGCTGGCAGCCAGTGGGGGCCGCTTCGGCTCACCTTCACCCCAACCAGGACCTGGGAGGGGGAGGCCGCCCAAGCCGGTGTCCACCCCAGGTGCAGAGGCCCCGCCCCTCCTGCAGGCTCTCTGCTTGCTGAGGAAGATCAACCCAGGGCATGGTGGGCTCAGGAGGCCTGGACCAGCACATCTCCTCATCCACTCACAGATACTGTGTCACAGGCCCTCGCTGGGTGCCCCTGGGCAAGTCTCTTGCCCTCTCTGAGCTGCGATGCCTTCCATTTGGCAGAGAAGTGCCACCCTCACGACTGGTCAGCTGAGAGTCTCCAAGAGGGCACAGGCTGGGGGCAGCCACCCGCCCCCTACTGTGCAGCCAATTGCAGCTGCAAGGTCGGAGCTTCCAAGGTCTCCCCAGAGAGTTCCAGAATCCCAGTCTTCCCAAGCCCTTGGGGGAGAGGCTGCCCGCCTGTGTTCCGCTGCCTTCTTGGGGCTCCTGATAATCCTTCCCCACAGTGGGGTGCAGGGGTGGGGGTCTTGCTGCTCCATCTCCTGAGAGGCCCTGTGAAGGTGGTGTCCCCCTCCTGAGCCCCTGTGACTGAGGAACGGAAGCTGCCCCAGGGGGCTCTCTCACCACAACCCACCCCTGAGTTTTGACCCTCCTGCTGTCCCCACCTCCTAAGGACTGTCGCCACATGGGGGCCCATGAGTTCATCTCACAAGGTCTGGGGAGGCCTCGGAGCTCTGTCAGGAGGCCCAAGTCTGATCAGCAAGGCTGGGGTGGTCTCCCCACTGGACAGCCAGGCTCTGCCTTCCAGGGGCCTCATTAGCCTCGGGCTGGGGCTGGGGTGGTGGTAGAGCGCTTGCCCAACCCTGGGCCCCATCCTCAGCACCAGCTAATAGTAAGTAAATAAATAAAATACAGGTCTGTGGTCCATTTACAGCTAAAAATAAATAAATAAATTTTAATTAAAAAAAAAGAGTCCTCTTTCTCGGCTGTCAAAGGGAGCCACCTCCTGTCCTTTCTGCCTGGTGAAATTGCCCTGAGACTCTGGGAGCTGTGGATGCATCAGCAAGTGCGTCTCTCACTCCACATTCAGGGATGCAGATGGGCTCTGGGCCCTGCTAGCAGCTCCTCACCTGGGCCAGCCAGGAAGTGAGGGGAGCAGTCACCCACCTTGCCACAAGGCCAGCAGCCATGGGCTGGGGAGCAGCACACCAGCAGGGGGTTGGGGGGGTCCACTTGCACTTCCTGGCCCCTGAGCCAGGGCCCACATCACTGGGGGCTTGTGAGCAGAGTGGCAGGGAGGAGCAGCGGGACCACTGGCCTTTTAGGTCACATGCTGGCCTGGGGTTCCCAGGACTCCAGGATTCTGTCTTCTGGGGATCGAGGATGCTGGAGGAAAGGGAGGTGGTCTTGGTGGTGAGCTTCCGGGCCCCCATGGAGATGGGGCAGTTGAGTCCTCCAGGGTGCCGTCTGGTCAGCCCAGACTGAGACCTCAGCTGCTGTGTCCTTGGTTTGCGACCTCCATCCCAAGCAGAGAGAGCTCCCATCCCTTGCTGTAGTCTAGTCCATCACCTGCAGTGGTCGCTGGAGTCCTTGTCCAGCACTGGAGTCAGTGTTCTAGAGGGACAGATGACAAGTGACACTCAAGGTGGGTCAGAGGGATTGTGCTGTCAGAGACCCAGGACCTGTGGCTCCCGAGGAGGTGATATGACTGTAAAGACCTGCAGCAGGGGAGCCAGGAGTCGTGGGGACACCTGGGGAAGGGGGTGTCCAGCTAGGGCAAAAGCTCTGAGGCTAGAGCAGTCCGGCGCGTTCCAGGAACAGGGAGGCCACAGCTGGAGTGCAGCTTGGGAGAGAGAAGGAGAGGAGGCCACAGGCCACAGGACAAGCAGAGAGACCAGGGGACGGTCCTGAGGAGTCTCCACTCTGGAAGGAGAGGAGCTGACCACCTGGCAAAGACCCTTCCCGCCACCAGAGTTCCCAGAGCGGGAGGGCTGGGGACTTGGAGACAATGCCCAGGACAAAGAGCTGGGCCTAGGGCCTGGGGGCCCTGGGGGTGGATTTATGGCCTCTCCTGACCCTGCTGAGGAGCCCTCCTTGTTGGGCATGGCCCAGTCACCAGGACCAGCCTGGGGGTGGGACGCCAGGATGAAAGGCCCCAAGAAAGGATTAACTGGGCCTGAAGGCCTCACAGACACCATGGCAACCTTGAGCCAAGCCAGGGAGAATGGGGCTGTGTGTTAACACCCCGCCCGCCTCCCCTCGCTGGGCTTGTTAACCAGCTTACCAGGCGGCCTGGCCGGCCATTGACATGGAAATCTAGACCTGGAAAGGGCCCTCTGCACTCACAGGGAGGAGGGGCCTGCTGGGCGGGCAGGGTGGACAGGGGGCAGGTGCAGGCCAGGGCAAGAACAGCCCCACCTTCCTCCCTGATTCCCCTGCAGTGGCCACCCCTCCCCTGCCCTGGATCCCTGAGGCCACTCAACAGTGGTCTGGTGGGACCCTGGGTAAAGGCAGTTAAGGTGGACCCCGGGGATAGGGGACAGACTTGCAGACGCACATGCTCTGGCTGAGGGACACTCTGGCTAAGCCAGGCCTAAGTGCCCAGCGTGGGGTAGGGAGGCAGCGTGGACAGAGAGGGGAGGGCAGGCACCCCAGAAGCTGCCCTGACCTCCGTGGCTACAGTGACCCTCATCCCCAGTTCCATCTCTACCTTAGTACACTCGCAGTCCCAGGCCCTCCAAGCGACTTCCTTCCTCAGGGTGGCTCTCTGTCCAGGGGCTGGCCTTTCTGCTCAGCCCCGTGCCCTGCCAGCAAGCTGACCAACAGCCGGCTCTTAACACAGGGCTCTGCTCTCCATCTCCCCAGCCTCCACCCAACAGCCTTGCCCCCCATCCAGAGCTTGGCCTTGGGCCCCTGCCACCCCCTCTGCCATAGCACCTGGCTTCCCTCGGACTCCCCACTGGCCCATGCCTGCCGCTCGTTCACTGTGACATCTTAGCCCCAAGGTGTGCAGAAAAGGCCAAGGCCAGGACAGGATAGGTCAGGGGTGGGGAGCCTGGCCTTGAGAGCTGACTGTGAGATCAGAGGGAGCTCCCGACAGCGACAGTGGGGAAGGCAGCGCCCCCCACCCCCATTGCAGGAGGCCCAGACCCTGGCTCCTGGGGAAGCCCCTGGCCCACAGAGATGTGCCGGAATGTGGGCAGGCCCCTGGGTGTTGAGGAAGGAGCTGAGCAGGTGTCTAAGCCCCTGTTGACATGGGATTACAGCCATCTGGCAGCCCCCTCCCTGCAGGGCCCGCCCCCTTGGCTCTGGGCGCTGAGGCAGGGGCCGCTCTGGGGAGGGCCTCAGTCTCCCCATCTGAACAGGAGGGAGCACTTAAGGTTGAGCCACAGGCTGAGCAGAGGCCAGCTCGGCCTCCGGGTGGGCCCCGCTGTGCCTCAGGGGAGGCCCTCTTGGGGAAACAGACTCAAGGGCAGTTCTGGGCCTAGTAACTCCTGCCCTTGCCTCCTGGGTCCCATGTCCCTCCCCATCTGGTCCCCTGTCCCCAGCCCAGGAGCCGGTCTTCCTCAGGCCTACACAGGTGAGCGCACACGGCTCTGAGGCCCCCTGGGGATCGGGAACCGTGTTCACACAGGAGCCCTCCAGCCTTTTCAGGGATGAGGTCACCTGCCATGTCTCAGGCTCAGGGCTCTCACTTGTCCCTTTTCAGAGGCAATCTCTGGGAGTCATGTCACCTCGGGTCACAAATGGCCTTATGGACCTGTCTGGGGAGCCCATGGGGCCGGCCACTGGGACTCAGAGAGGCCTCAGGCTCTTGTCTCCTGCTGGGGTTGGGTTTCCTCAGTGCAGGCCCCAGATGCACACAGCTGGCAGAGGTTGGAACTTGAGAAGGCTATGCGTCCCCCCACGAGGGGCTGCGGGGGCCATCAGAGCCTCTGGCCACCTCCCCCTGCAAGATCAGCCCCTGCCATCTGCCTCTGTCTCTCCAGAGAGGGGAGGGGCGGCCGCATTCCTCAGCACACAGCCCTCCTCACATCTGGCTCCCCACCCCACCCCACATCCCCAGCAGGCCCTGGCCCCGTCCACGGGTAAGCAGCCCTTCCCCTGACAGTGGACCCCAACAAATAACTCTCAGGTGCCCCACCCCTGCCCCTGGCCTCTAGGGCGTCCGTATGCAGGTCATCCCCTCGTCCTTCCCATGGGTGACCCCTTGGCCCTTTAAGGAACTTATGGAAGCTGCTCCTTCTTTTGGTCCTGGGGGTTGAACCCAGGGGCGTCTACCATGGAGCCACATCCCAGACCTTTTTTTTTTTGAGACAGGGTCTCGCTAAGTTGCTGAGGCTGGCCTCAAACTTGCCATCCTCCTGCTTCAGCCTCCTGTGTCACTGGATTACAGTGTGTGCCTGGTGGCCCCCAAGCCCCACCTAGCCACTTGGATCACTCAGATGAGAGCCTTGCTCACCAAGGACCAAGAGTGCTCTGTCCATGGCTGCCCACAGCTCCTCAGCTCCTCGTCCTGAATGCCTCAATAGGGTGCCCCCCTCACTCTGCATACAGCAATAGGGGAGGGCCCGGCTGGGCTGTGGGGCAGGGGTTCCAGGACAGAGGACTGGGCCAGGAGGGCAGCCTGCCCTGTCCTTTCCCCTGCATGGTGGAGAGGGCCTCTATGGGGTGACAAAGTGATCCGATGTTCACCCCAGGGCTCTGGGAGTGAGCACAGCAGAGTGTGGGGGTACCTGGGTGGTTCATGGGCCAGAGAAGAGGGAGAGTGGGTCCCACAGGAAAGGGCAGACACCTCAGGCACAGGGCCAAGCTGCAATTACAGCCTCACTGATTCTCAGAGTCACCCTGGGCATGCCAGATCAGGGCACACAGGTCACCAGGCCACTGTAGGATGCATAGGAGTTCACCAGTCAACAAGGGGCATGTCTGCTGCAGGACTGTCGTTTTCTGAACTCATGTGTGAACCTGAGAGCTGGGCCCACACCCCCTGTGCCCTTCAACTCTGCCAATTTCTTTGTGAGTACCTACCTGCTCTGTGCTGGGCACTGTGCTGGACAGGAGGTCAGAGGGTGACTCTCACGGGATCCCTCCCGCCTCGGGAGCCTTCTGTCTGCTTGCTGGGATGCCCGGGGTGATCCAGAGAGGAAAGAAAGCCTGATTTAGTTGGGACAAAGTTCTTGAAAGGGTGGCTTGCCAGGCAAGGGGAGGGGTGGCATGTACAAAGGCCCAGGGCCAAAAGAACAGAGTGTTTGAGGACTGGACAAGAGGCCAGTGTACAAACCAGGGAGGGGTGCCCCCTCTGGGACTACTATTTGTGGGACTCTGTCCTTTCCTGTGCACCTTGCCAGGTACCATGCCTCCCACATGAGCACCGGAGCTGGGGGTTAACTCAGGGAGGGTTGGCTGCTGTGGCGGAGGGGCCCATGGAACACTCTGAGGACCCGGTTTCTGCAGGAAGCAGGTGGGCAGGGGGGCCGGGTCCACACAGTCACATAGGAAGAGACAGGGGACTGCGCAGGAAAGCGGACTGCCTCCCATCTGCAGTGGCCTCCCCGCCCCCTTCCTCCCCCACACAACAGCCGCCAGGCGGGTCCCTTTCTCTGCCCGCCTTTCTCTGGATCTTCAGCAAAGCAGTTGCTCGAGACTAATTGAATTTTCCGCCTGGGAAGGGCCTGGGGAGCCGGGGCGGGAGCTGGGAAGGAGCTTGTTAACAGGCCGCTGCCCTCCCCGCGGGCTCCGCCCCGGCCCCGCCCTGGCAGCCTCCTCTCTGCCGTGGGGGTGGGGTGGTCGAGGGCCCTGGTGGCGTCAGGAACAATGGGCAGACAAACAGGACGCAGCCCCCACCCCTCCAAAGCCTGAGGGGGCAGGAGGCCTGGCCTGTGCCTGGATCCTAATGTCCCTGAGTCCCCAGAGTGGCTGGTGTGACCCTCTGGGCCTCAGTTTCCCTTCCTGCCCCAAAGG